TAGAGCTTATACATTCCGATCTTTGTGAGATGAATGGCATGTTGACAAAAGGTGGAAAGAGATACTTCATGGCGTTGATTGATGACTCCACTAGATATTGTTATGTGTATCTTCTTAAATCAAAAGATGAGGTTTTAACTGTCTTCAAAAACTATAAAGCTGAGGCAGAGAACCATTGATCAAAAAATTAAACGGCTTAGGTCCGATCATGGTGGAGAGTATTTTTCCAATGAATTTGATTTCTTTTGTGCGGAACATGGTATAATCCATGAGAGGATGCCTCCCTACTCACCTCAGTCAAATGGGGTAGCCGAAAGAAAGAACCAAACTCTAACTGATATGGTTAACACTATGTTAGACACATCGGGTCTTTTCAAGGAATGGTGGGGGGAGGCGCTAATGACTGTGTGTCATGTCCTAAACCGAGCTCCCACAAAGCATAAGACCACGACTCCATTTGAGGAATGGGAAAGGAAAATATTGAAACTCTCTTACCTACGTACTTGGGGTTGTTCGGCAAAAGACAATATACCAATTCCCAAGAAGCGCAAGCTTGGACCAAAAACTGTGGATTGTGTTCTTCTGGGCTATGCTTTTCATAGCATTGGCTATAGATTTTTGATAATAAAATTTGAGGTATCCGACATGCATGTTGGTACGATTATGGAGTCGAATGATGCGACTTTCTTTGAGGACATATTTCCTATGAAGGATATGTCGAGTTCATCAAACCAGGAGATACCTTCTCCATCTAGTGAGGAATTCGATGTAATTCCTGCACCCACCATTGCGATGGAACACGTTGAGAATCCTATTGAGGGTGACAATGGAACTCCTGTGAGGAGCAAGAGACAGCCTTTGGTGATGATTTCATTGTGTACCTTGTGGATGACACACCTAGGACTATTTCAGAAGCCTATGCATCTCCTGATGCTGACTACTGGAAGGAAGCTGTTCGTAGCGAGATGGATTCCATCTTAGCTAACGGAACCTGGGAGATCACTGACCGTCCTTATGGGTGCAAACCTATAGGATGTAAGTGGGTGTTCAAGAAGAAGCTTAGACCTGATGGTATGATTGAAAAGTACAAGGAACGGCTTGTGGCTAAGGGTTATACCCAGAAAAAAGGTGAAGACTTCTTTGATACTTACTCACCCGTGGCTAGACTGACCACAATTTGGGTGCTACTATCACTGGCTGCCTCACATGGTCTTCTCGTTCATTAAATGGACGTTAAGACGGCTTTCCTCAATGGAGAGTTGAAGGAGGAAATTTACATGGATCAGCCAGATGGTTTTGTAGTACCTGGTCAGGAAGGAAAGGTGTGCAAGTTATTAAAGTCTTTATATGGCCTTAAACAAGCTCCTAAGGAGTGGCATGAGAAGTTCGAAAGAACATTAACTGCTGCCGGCTTTGTAGTAAACGATGGTGACAAGTGTGTGTACTATCGCCATGGTGGGGCGAAGGAGTTATTCTTTGTTTGTATGTCGATGACATATTGATCTTTGGAACCAAACTTGATTTAATCAAGGAGGTTAAGGATTTCTTATCTCGCTGTTTTGAGATGAAGGATCTAGGAACAGCTGATGTTATCTTAAACATCAAGCTGTTAAGAGATGAGAATGGTGGGATCACACTGCTTCAGTCTCACTATGTGGAAAAGGTCTTGAGTCGTTTTGGGTATAGCGACTGCACGCCTTCTCCAACTCCATATGATGCTAGTGTGTTGCTTCGAAAGAATCGACGGATTGCTAGAGATCAACTGAGGTATTCTCAGATTATTGGCTCGCTTATGTATTTGGCGAGTGCCGCGAGGCCTGACATCTCGTTTGCTGTGAGCAAGCTGAGTCGGTTTGTGTCAAAACCAGGAGATGGTCATTGGCATGCGCTTGAGAGAGTTATGCGCTATATGAAAGGCACCGCGAGCTATGGGATTCACTACACCGGGTATCCAAGGGTACTGGAGGGTTATAGTGACTCAAACAGGATATCTGATGCTGATGAGATTAAGGCCACAAGTGGTTATGTTTTCACTCTTTGTGGTAGCATTGTTTCTTGGAAGTCTTGCAAGCAGATCATCTTAACAAGGTCAACTATGGAAGCAAAACTCACAACATTAGACACTGCCACTATTGAAGCAGAGTAGCTTCATGAGCTCTTGATGGACTTACATATGGTTGAAAAACCAATACCTCCTATCCTGATGAACTGTGATAATCAAACTGTGATCGTTAAGATAAACAGTTCTAAGGACAATATGAAGTCCTCAAGGCATGTGAAGAGGAGACTAAAATCTGTCAGAAAATTGAGGAACTCCGGAGTTATTACGTTGGATTATATCCAAATATCGGAAAATTTGGCAGATCCCTTCACAAAGGGTCTATCACAAAATGTGATAGATAATGCATCGATGGAGATGGGTCTGAGACCCACCGCACGAGTTGTCCATAGTGGTAACCCACTCCATGTGATCGGAGATCCCGTGAAGTAGAAGTGGGAGACAAGCTGTTGGTCAGCTGGGAGGAGAGTATCCCAATATTAACTATCCCACTCCGTGAAGATGCAATACTCTCCTGATCTGCATGGCAGGTTGATACTTATCTTAATGTGTTTCAAGTGGCTTATTCGGGTAAGCAGAGATGTTGCCCTGCAGAATATCTTCTGAGGAACACACCTATATGAATTTGACTGTTAACGTCGCAGTCTGTGAAATTGGGTGTTCTCTAATAAATTCATGAAAAGGCCCTGGAGTACGACGTATACGCTCCACCCGCGGGGAAGCCTTGCGGCAGCCCACTATCGATCAAGAATTTGTGTGAAACTAGTCTCGCAGAAAACTTGTAGTTCAAGGCATAGTCCACTATTCAAGTTGTGATCTAGTGTAGCATAAATCTCTAAGTGAAAGTTCAACTTCACAGTCTCCACTAAGCACCGGTATATTAACAATGTTTTGGAACCAAATGGTGAGATGTGCCAATGAGACTTTGTGGGGGATTGTTGGAATTTGCTAGTGGGCTTTTGGCCCAAAGCCCAACTAAAATTCTGAAATTCTCTTGGCCCATTCATGCACACATGTGAGTGGAGTGAGTGAGGCTAAAGTTTAGTCCCACCTCATAAGTTAAGAGAGAGTTGTACCTCTTTATAAGATGAGCTCTTCTACCACTTGTATGAGCATGAGAAGAGGAGACCTATACGCATGCTCCTCCTCCTCGCTCGCCTCGCCACGCCACGCCTCGCCTCGTCACGACGCGCCGCGCCGCGGGTTGCAGGATTGAGCCGAGCCGAGGACAGAGCTATGCACGTTGTCTATAGTTTTGCTGCTCGGGAAAAATTAATAATTAACGAACGCGTTAATTACTGAACCGTTTCTGATTCTTTTGGATCGTGACGACTTGGATATGGGGTTTACTCCCACGACCTACCTGGCCCGCACTATATAGTCAGTCAGACGTCTACCCTAGCCGCCGCCGCTTCGTATGGTTTTTCACCACCGTTCCAGATCATTGCGCCGCCAAACAAGTCTTCTCCATCCCTCCTTTCGGCATGCACCGGGAGAAGGGACAGCAGGCCTCCGGAACCCCGCCTCTCATGATCCTGTACGGGAGAGGGGCGATCAGGTTTTTGGGGAGCGCACTCGCACAACTGCTGGCAGCGACGACTTTGCGAACGACGACTTCTTCCCTGACCTCGGCAACCTCATCCTCGACGACATGGGCGACAACGTCAACACCGGCGGTGCTGCTCCCGCTGCAACGTATGTGATTCCATCCTTCCTATTCGAGATCGTGCTAGAATTCATATTTCTAGTATGTGCCCTAGATGTGATCTGTTCATCTGCTATGCTAGTTCGCATGATTAGTTTAATCTCTGCTACTGTAGTCATGATTTATCTTTTGTTTATTCGGATTAAATCTCATAGTAATTTGCTCATATTTCCAACAGGGTATAGGATGCTTTATGCCTTGATAGATGCATATCACCAATGGTGTTTTTCCTTCTTTTGACAATGGTGGAGTTGAAGCGTGTAGACCTTTGTTGTGGAGCTTCACCTCCAATTCTTGACACAGGTAAATAAGTTGATGAGTGGGCTCCTTAAATCAAAAATCTAATGGATAACCGTCAACAATGTAACTCATCCAAGCACCACAAAAGGTTAACTGAACCAAACAATTCAGTCAAATCATTGTAAGCTAGCTCATCCAAATGTGGATGAGCCACCGCCAGTCGTTGGAGTGGTACGGTGTGGCTGCAGGTGCACCGTGCAGGAAGCTGGGGTTATTAATTATTACATGTGTATGCAGTATGCTAGCTACTAGAAATCACACTAGCTATAGTTTGAAACTTAAACTGACCGTGCAGCTAATTAGAAAGAGCAGGCTAGCTAGCTTTTCACTGCCCCGTATGCATGTGCGCGTGATAAGTTTTCACGTTTTTGTCAACCTGCAAAGACACCGAGTGTGCCACCCTCATTGCCAAAGAGGGTATGGGTGCTTCGCGGACGCAAACTTCGCGGTAGTTTCCTTTGTCACTGCCATTGCCATGAGAGGAACCGGACTCTCCTCCCTCTGTCTCTGTGTGTGTGCGCGCGCGCGCGCGCGCGCGTGTGTGTGTGTGTGTGCAGGTCATGCTGCGGCTGCTCGACACGTAGTGGGTTTTGGGGCGGCCCCACGTCGCTGCTGCGGTGCCCTCGGCCACTTAAACTCCCCCCTCCACCACTAGCTAGCGTCGTCGTTGCGCTCTGTAGTTGTAGCCCGAGCCCCTTGCATCCAAGCTAACAAGCTAGGAAGAACATCTCCCTTGCATCCGACGAGCGAGTGACGGTGAGTCCCCTCCATCTCCGGCATCTTGCTAATGTCATGTGCTTTTCCTCTTCTTCTTTCTCCTCCTCCTCTTCTTCTTCTTTTATGTCGAATGGGGACATGAAATTAGAGAAGAGAAACTAACCATACGTTGTTGCTGATCTCGTGATCTCATCCTACTCCTACCTAGGTTGGATCTCCATGGACGGCAAGACGCCTCATTTGCTGCCTCTGAGTCTGAGCGAGGCCAAAAAGAAGATCCGGGATGACGTCCCACTGGTCTGCGGATGGGCGCTCCTCAACGCCTTCGCCACGGTCTGCGGCGTAGCAAGCGGCTACATAGCCGAGTACATCCATGTCTCGTGCAGCCAGGTAACCACCTACCCGTGCACTACCCTTCCGATGCTTGACATTGAGACCGATCCATCATGTGCCAAGCTGGTATGGTGTCCTCTGCAGTCCTCCTTCATTCTGCCCTGCATCGAGCTGACAGACGCGGAGGCCGCGAGGGTAATCGCCCTCTGCATCGGGATGATGTGCTGCGCCCCAACCCTGGCAGCCGCGGCGGCGCTGGCGCTGCTGCTCCCATGCCGCCGTCGCCGGGCCCGCCGTGCCCTCGCCTACCTCGCCCTTGCGGTCACCGTCCTCTTCCATTGCATGTACGCCAGCGCCGTCTGGATCTTCCTCGCCGCCGACCCAGGATACATCTTCGGCAGGATCTACTTCACCGCGGGCTTCTGCTTCATCGTGGTGGGCGACCTCCTCAGCTTCCGGGCCCTCCTGGGAGGTGATGGGTGGGGCATGAAGTACGTAACCTATTTCTTCTGATCATGTTCGTGGATCAGTGATATTCCACCAGGTACTGATGAGAGCGTAGAGTATGCATTCATTCTGCTGTGACGGTTGATGGAGTAGTGCCGTATCTAGTGCAGTGTTAATATCCAGATCGACTCTACTAGTTAATTATATTACTCCATTTGGGCAATGCTCGCTGGCTATATAATTAGACTGGATCGATTCTAGTAGTTATCCTATGTATTCCACCTTAATTTTCTCTATGTGATCGTCAGACATGAGTTATATGCTATATTTTGGTGAAATTGTTGCTCCAGTGTATATCCATGCACACATGTTGTTTCTGGTGTTAAAAATTGTTTTTTCATTAATTCCCGCATCTGCTGGCGTATCCGAGCAATGCTACACACACGGGCTGATTTTTACTGAGATTTACGGGGATGCTGAGCTGGGATAATTTGATTGGAAGGAAAGGGGATGAGGGGCCCACACCCCCTGAAAATCAGGGCCGGTGAAGATTTGTTAACGAAGAGATGTGTAAAACACCCATATTACTCCGTTAGTCTAGAATTTTCAGGCGTATCCTCTGGGTTGAGATTGAGTGACCCATGTGATCATGCAATCACGGCTGGATGTACGGGACGCTATGGCTTGGAATGCCCTCGTGCCAAGTGAGGCCCTTCTTTTGATGCCCATTTTGCCTTTGGAATCCACACTCGGACACTTGACTTGTGTGAGCGGTTTCACTGTGCGTAGCCACATCCGGTTAGGCCTCTTTTGGTTTAGAGGAATTTCATAAAAATTCTAAAGGATAGGATTTTTATAGGATTTTTTCCTTTAGACCCCTTTGGTTCATAGGAATGGATTCCTATTCCTCCATAGATTGGTTCCTATCCTCCACATTTCCTAAGAAAATAAAAAAGAGCCTAGACTCAATGAAAAAATTCCTTTGATGTCAACCAAATGACATCTTGTTTCCTATTTCTACTCATAGGATTTAAGATACATGTCATCTCATTTCCTACAAGATTCCTATTCCTATGATAATCCTATCCTATGAACCAAAAAAGGCCTTAATGTTTTATAGAAAAGGAAAAAGAAACACAACATTCCTCCTTAAACCTTCAAAAAATTAAGTTTCTTCCGCCTAGTCATGGAGTCGAATATTTGAGTCTTAGCAATCATGTAAAGATGGAATTGTTCCACAACTTACACCTTCTAGAACATATCAAATTAATGGGTATCCGAAAGGTGTAATCGAACTTTGTTAGGCATATATAGTTCACTCAAAGGACAAGTGCATAGGTCAACCTTGAACTCATTTCTTATTATAATTTACAACCTCAACTCCAAAACCGGTTAGGATACTACCCTGAACTTTCCACACCGTTTAGTTTGCCGGGCTAAGACGAGAGGAGGGTAGTTTTGCATGCATGCTGTGGCATCTAGGCTGGCTAGTGACCGTTGATGTCTCATCTGAGCCATAGAAATATTATTGTACTAGCTTGCTGCTCAAAAAGTGGGTGTGGCTGGTTATTACGCGTATGCAGTATTCTACTAGAGATCATGTTAGTTGGAACTTTTTTTCAGGCAATTACTTGTATTACTGACAAGGAGAACTACATTTTCTAACGGCCTTATCAGGCCAGAATTTTCATCATAAGCTTCCAGTAAATGGCTTACAAAGATTTTGACCACGTCATGTGTGAGTAATACAATTTTTTCGTTATTCCATGAACAATTGAACCACACAAACAATGAAGCCGTGCACGTGCAGCCAATTAAAAAGAGCTGGCTAGGTAGCATTTTACTGCCATGTACAATGTGCATATGTGCACGTACGTGGTAAGGCCGTCCACTGCAAAGAAATTAAGCGTCCCAACGCTTAGCTAGTTTGCTATATCCATTCATTCACATGTGTGTAAAGAAATTAACAGCGGCCCACTGCATTGCCACAGAGGGTATGGATGCTTTATGCCTTGGCAAATGCATGTCGCATTCATGTTTTTCTTTCTTTTGACAAGGGTCAAGTTAAACTGTGTAGGGCTTTGATGGTAGGTGGAGCAGCTCCCGTTCTCAGTGAAGATAAACAAGTTGATGAATGAACTCCTCAAAAACCTAATCGATGACCGTCAACAATGTAACTCATCCAACTGATCCAAGCGTCGAAAAAGATTAACAATGTAATTCAGTCAATCATTGTGCTAGCTAGCTAGCTGATCAAAATGTGAATATGAGTCACCGGGTTGGAGTGGTGTGGCTGGTGCGCCGTGCACGAAGCGGGCGTTATTACATGCGTATGCAGCATGCATGTGCGAGTGCTGAGTCTGATGGGCGTCGTCCCACCACTGCATTGCCAAACAGGGTATAGGGGCAACTTCGCGGCAGTTTCCCTTTGTCATTTCCATGGGAAGAGACCGTCACATGCTTGCTTCTTTACATGCCGCACCGCACCAGACTCTCCTCACAGTCTGTGTGTGTGTGTGTGTGCAGCTCATGCTGCGACTGCTCGACACGTAGTGGGTATTGGGGCAGCCCCATGCCGATCGAGTCGCTTTGCTTCTCTCTCTCGCTGCTCGGCCACTTAAACAGCCCATCCACCACTAGCGTGGCCGATGTGCTGTGCGATTGCAGCTCGAGCCCCTTCAGGAAAGAATAAGCACACCAAGCGAAGAACCTCGCGTGCATCCGACCAGCGAGTTACGGTGAGTCCCCTCCATCTCCGGCCAACTTGCTAATGTGTTTTTCTTCTTCTTTCCTGTCACGGTGAGTCCCCTAGGGGAACATTGTTGCTGATCTCGTCTCTGCACTAGAAATAAACGAGGTTGAAATCACGAGGTGAAAAAAAGGGTGATCCCCGGTTTCTGCATTAGAACGATGCATACGGTCATACTTATTAATAAGCAAATAGGTTCAACACAAGTCATCATGTCTCAAACAAAAGAACGAAAAATGCTCACAAAGAGCAAAAAAGAAAAGCCACAACCGGCTGGCATAAAAAAGATAGAAACACTAATTGCCTATCCTATTATATGACCGTCATTTAAACCGGTTGAAAATAGCCCGTGCTACCATCTCCCATCGGATATATCCAGTAACCATACGCTCCCTGGCCTTCGTCGGAGTGAGTAGCGACCACATACGGATCAACGCAGTGGCTCGGAAAATAACCTGCAAAAATGAATGTTTGTTGTTCTGTTAAAGACCAAATCGTTTCTGCAGCTCCAGACTGCCCATAATAAAGCACATACTCCTACACGAATGTGTCTCGCTGTTTCAGAATCTATCCCGTCAAGCCACGTCCCAAATAACGTGTTGATAGTATTCGGAGGAGTAATATTAAAGGTTGTGTGAATCGTCCGCCGCAATTTTTTTGCCAAAGGACAGTCAAGAAAGAGGTGTTTGATGGATTCATCCCGATCACAAAAACTACATCTTGTAGATCCTGTTCAGTTGCATTTTGCCAAGTTGTCCTTAGTTAAAATGACTTGTTTATGTACAAACCACATAAACACTTTAACTTTCAAAGGTACTTTGACTTTCCAAATATGTTTCGAACTAGGAATAGAGCTAGAGTTGATAACATTGATATACATGGATTTAACCGTAAACTCTCCGTTCCTAGTTAGCTTCCAGCACAACTGATCGGACCGTTGAGAAAGCTGAACATCCATCAGTCTTCTTACGAGATGGATCCAGGCTTCCCAACAGTTTCCGGCTAGCGTCCTCCTGAAGTGAATATTGAGAGGAGTGGACTGAAGTACTGTTGCAACCTAAGCGTCTCTTCGTTGAACAATACTATAAAGTGAAGGATATTGAAGCGCGAGGGGTGTTTCCCCTAGCCATGTATCCTCCCAGAATCTCGTAGTGGTACCGTTTCCAACTATAAACTTTGTCCTATTGAAAAAGACTGATTTAACTCTCATCAGTCCTTTCCAAAAAGGCGAGTCCGTCGGCCTCACTGTCACCTGGGACAAAGTTTTGGAGTGAAGGTACTTATTACGCGGAATATGCGCCCATGTGGCCTCCGTCTCTACAGATAGCTTATACAGCCACTTGCTGAGAAGACATGTGTTCTACACCTCAAGATTTTCAATACCTAGACCCCCTTGGTCTTTCAGTCGACAAATAATATCCCATTTAGCGAGTCTGTAATTTTGCTTTAATCCATCACTCTGCCAGAAGAAGTGTGATCGATAGAAGTCAAGCCTTTTCCGAACTCCAACTGGTACCTCGAAAAAGGACAAGAGAAACATGGGCATACTCATGAGAACCGAATTAATGAGAATTAATCGGCCTCCATATGACATCAGCTTGCCCTTCTAGCAGCTCAGTTTCTTCTCAAATCGATCCTCAATACACTTCCATTCTCTATTTGTCAGCTTACGATGGTGAATTGGTATACCCAAATACATGAAAGGTAAAGCCCCCAATTCGCACCTGAACAATTGTTTGTAAGCATCTTGTTCCTCATTGGCTCTTCCAAAACAGAACAATTCGCTTTTATGAAAGTTCATCTTTAACCCGGTCAATTGTTCGAATAAGCATAGCACCAGCTTCATGTTTCGCCCTTTTGCCAAGTCATGCTCCATGAAGATGATAGTATCATCGGCGTACTGTAGGATAGACACACCTCCATCAACTAGATGAGGAACCAAGCCACCTACCTGACCAGCATCCTTAGCCCTTCCTATTAAAATCGTCAACATGTCGACTACTATGTTGAACAAAATAGGTGACATCGGATCTCCTTGTCGTAGGCCCTTATGTGTTTGGAAGTAGTGACCTATGTCATCATTCACTTCAATTCCAACACTCCCTTTTTGCGTGAAAGATTCTACTTGGTGTCTCCAGGACTGATCGAAACCTTTCATGCGCAAGGCCTGTTGAAGAAATGGCCATTTGACTTTATCATACACTTTTTCGAAATCCACTCTGAAAACAACCCCGTCTAGTTTTTTCGTGTGAATTTCATGGAGCGTTTCATGTAGGACCACAACCCCTTCTAGGATGTTTCTGTCCGGCATGAAAGC